CTAGAAGGGAGTGAGGTTTGCGGAGAGGAGAAGGAGGACTGTAGGGGTCCTTGTTGCTCTCTGAACTTGGTGGTTTTCTTACAGACATTTCATCACCCAACTAGGAAACATCATCAATGCTAGACCCTAGAATCCTCTTCCCTTCTAGCACTGATGACGTTCCCTAGCTGGGTCATGAAACGTCTGCAAGAAAACCACCAACCCTGGAGACCACCAAGGACCCCACATTACTATTTCTAAACGTTTCCAGCCATTTCTATAATAACAATGACCTCACTCTCATCATCAACACCTAAAATTAGACTTTCTTTCTTTCTTTCTAGGTTCAAGTATAAAATCCAGAAGTGGTTTCCAAATGGAAACAAAAATTAGATAAATTCTTTTCTTTAATTAGCACAATCAGTTTTAGGATCTCTGCCAACCCCATCACTTCACCATCCATTCTTCTATTGTGGGAAAATTGCTCGCATGAGGTTCTCGCCCATGTGCAAACTGATTGTTACAACGTTGATCTTCTCCCTGTTTAATTCCAGATGTTGTTCCTCTCTTTCTCTCTTTTTTCCCTCTCGCTCTTCAGCCTCCTAATAAATAAAGCTTTTATTTGTTGAAGCAAACCGCCCTGTCAAAATCGGATAGGTTCAATCGAAACACATGGGAGTGTATTTGCAAGACCTCACAGTGTGGAGGGTGTCCAAAACACACACGCACAATTCACACTTTGACGTGGCTGAAAGTATTTTCCTGTCTCCAAAGCTCAGGACTGCTGAGCTGGTTGGTGTTTCCCTGACTTGAAAGATGCAAGGCCAGCTCTGCTCCAGAAAGGCTGGAATGGTTGACGTTCTAGGTCTAACAATGGGTCTACTCTAAGCTGTAGAAGGAATATCTAGAACAGTGGTTCTCAGTCTTGGTAACTTTAAGATGTGTGGGTCTCAACTCCCAGAATTCCCAGCAAGTCATGCTAAGATGCAAAGCCAGCTTTGCTCCAGAAAGGCTGGAATGGTTGACGTTCTAGGTTCCAATCCATAGAAGGAATATCTAGAACAGTGATAGAACGGTGTTACTCATTCTTGGACACTTTAACTCAGAATTCAACTCCCAGAATTCCCCAGCCAGCCATGCTAAGATGCAGGGATGGTGGACATTCTAGGTCTAACAATGGTTCCAAACTGTAGAAGGAATATCTAGAACAGTGGTTCTCAATCTTGGCAACTTTAAGAGTGTGGACTTCAACTCCCAGAATCCCCTAGCTAGCCATGTTGATATGAAGGTTCTCGCCAGATTGGCTTGAACTGTGGATGTTTTCGGTCCAACATATACTTCCAAGCTCAGCTCCCAGAATCCCCCAGCCAGAATCCCCCAGCCAGCTATAGAAGGAATATCTAGAACAGTGGCATCTTTAAGACATATGGACCTCAACTCCCAGAATCCCCCAACCAAACATGCTGAGATGAAGGTCCAGCATCTCTCCAGATACGCTGGAATAGTGGACCATCTAGGTCCAGCACATAGTTCTAAGCTGTAGAAGGAATATCTAGAACAGTGGCATCTTTAAGGCGTATGGACCTCAACTCCCAGAATCCCCCAGAGATGCAGGGCCAGCTTCTATCCAGTTGGTCTGGAACGGTGGATGTTGAGATGAGAGTTGGCTGAGGAATTCTGGGAGTTGAGATCCAAAAGTCTTAAAGTGGTCAAGGTTGAGAAACACTCATCTAGATCCCTTCTCCACGTTGTCTTCTTTGACTTAATAGAAAATCCGCAGCATGAAAAAGGACCTTCTTTTCCTGAATTATTATTATTATTATCCTAAATCTCTCCCAGTTCCTCCTGATTTCTCCTTGACTTCTTCTCAAGGGTGGACATTCTTCCAACTGGCAGATTTGGCCAACTTGAAGGGGGTCAATGTGCTCTGGAAAGAGAATTCCAGTCTGTGTCACCTGGAAATTTTGAGTTGAAATCACACATCCTGGAAGGAGGCCATCTTAAACCACGTTGGTCATTCCGGCCAAGAAAATGACAGAGACGTATTTGTGAAGACCAACTTGCCTTCACAAGGGAGTCTTTCCCTTAATCGTATTAGCTGGGTTTAATTTATTGACCTTCCTAGTTGAATCATATTTAGTTGGGGGGCTGAGGTCCACCCATTTCTCGGGCCAGGCATCGCCTGGTGGTTGGAAGGAGAAGCTCTGATGCCTTCTCCAGATGTGATCTTTGGACCAGTAAGAGACGGGCAGTGCCATGCAGGCTGTGCCAGGGATTCCAGATGTTTCTGTTTTGAGGAACAACATGTGGACGTCAATCTGGAGGGCGTAAGATGGAGGCTGGTTTACTCATTTGTCTGTTGGCTGCTGCCTGAGGCCTGTCCTTCCATGTTGGTGACTTCTGGACCTGTAGACTTGGGAGAAACATCTCAGCCTTGCAACCACGAGAACTTCCAGATCTCAGGCATGGTGACTCCTTGGTCCCATCTTGATCTTTGGAGCAAAAACCTTTAGGCAAACAAGTCCTACCTGGAATCGGTGGGATCTTCATAGGAGAAGATCTGATGTTAGAGTCAAGAAGATCCCTGAGTTGTGGCTAGGGATGGGTCCTGAAGGACACGCCCACCAAGGGCTTTTGGGGTCTTTGGCAGAGCTCAGGGTGGCATGCCAAACTGCCTCATATGGGTCAATCAGTGGGGGGCAAAGCTGTGAGTTTTTCCTTCCTTCCTTCCTTCCTTCCTTTCCTTCTTTCTTTCTCTTTCCTTTCTTCTTTATTCTTTCTTTTACATTTTATACCCTCCCTCTCTCCCTCCCACCCACCATTCCTTCCTTCCTTCCATTCATTCATTCTTTCTTTTGCTTTCTTCCTTCTTTACTTCCTTCCTTCCTTTTTCTATTTCCTTTTTCTCTTTCTCTCTTTCTCCCTTATTTACTTCTGTTTCTTTCTTTCCTTTCCTTTTCTCTTGCTTTTCTCTCTCCCTTCCTCTTTCTTCCTCTTCCTTTCTTGCCCTCCTTCCTCTTCCTCCCTCCCTCCCTCCTTCTCTATTTCCTCCCTCCCTCCCTCATTTCTTTCCTTACTTTCTCCTTCCTTTTTCTTCTTCCTTTTTTCTTTCTCTCTCTCCCGTATTTACCTGTTTCTTTCTTTCCTTTTTTTCTCTTTCCTTTCTCTCTCCCTCTTCCTCTTTCTTCCTCTTCCTTTCTTCCTTCCTCCCTCCTTCTCCATATCCTCCCTCCCTCCTTCCCTCGTTTCCTTCCTTCCCTCAGTTTCTCCTTCCTTCCTTCCTTCCATCCTTCCTTCTTCCTATCCTTCCTATCCTTCCTTCCTTCCTTCCTTCCTTCCTCCATTATTCTCCTTTCCCTCCCCTCCCCTCCCCCTCTGTCTTTTTCTAGTACTCTTGTGGCTTCTGTCTCCAGCTTCTTTCCAAACAGGACTCATCCTTCCCGTAACAGAACCTCCACAAGGGCCCACCAGACACCACCACCCCACCGCCTGCCTGACTGCCTGCCTGCCCCGCTCAGAGTGCCAGCCTAACCTTGGGGTGATTTATATTCTGTTCTGCTAGCTAGCTAGACAAACACCTTGGCACCTGGGTTGGCGTCTCTTTCCGTGCGAAGATGCAGAAGGTTTTTGTGGACTTCCCACATCAAGCAGATGTTGAGTCAAGCACGAAAGAAAGAAAGAAAGAAAGAAAGAAAGAAAGAAAGAAAGAAAGAAAGAAAGAAAGAAAGAAAGAAAGAAAGAAAAGGAAGGAAGGAAGGAAGGAAGGAAGGGTGCAGAAAGAAGGAAGGAAGAGAGGGAAGGAAGTACAGAAGAAAAAGAAAGAAAGGGGAGGGAAGGAGAAAGGAAGGATAGAAAAAAAGAGGAAGGAAGGAGAAGGAAGGAAGGGATGTGGGAAGGAAGGAAGGAAGGAAGGAAGGAAGAGGGCAGAAAGGAGGAAGGAAGGAAGGAAAGAGGGAAGGAAGTACAGAAGAGAAAGGAAGGAAGGGGATGGAAGGAAGGGAGGGAGAAAAAGGGAGGGGAGGGAGAAGGGATGGAGAGATGGAAGGAAGGAAGGAAAGAGGGAAGGAAGTACAGAAGAAAAAGAAAGGAAGGGAAGGAGAAAGGAAGGACAGAAAAAAAGAAAGGAAGGAAGGAGAAGGAAGGAAGGGATGTGGGAAGGAAGGAAGTGGGCAGAAAGGAGGAAGGAAGAGAGGGAAGGAAGTACAGAAGAAAAAGAAAGGAAGGAAGGGGATGGAAGGAAGGGAGGGAGAAAAAGGGGGAGAAGGGAGGGAGAGATGGATGGAAGGAAGGAAAGGAAAGAGGGGAGAAAGTACAGAAGAAAAAGAAAGAAAGGGGAGGGAAGGAGAAAGGAAGGACAGAAAAAAGGAAGGGAGGGAGGAAGAGAGGAAGGAAGGAGGAAGGAAAGAAAGAAGGGTCAAATGGGAAGGAAGGAGGAAGGAAAAGGGAGGGAGGGAGGAAGGAAGGACTGCCAGAATTTATGGCATAATTTCAGCTTCGATAAAGTCAGAAAAACAAACCACAGTTATCTCTTCTAAGGTGAGAAATATTTCCCAGAAAGAGAAAGGAAGTGTTGTTAAGCTACACAATTGTGTTGAATGTCTCTGTGTAGGTACCAGTAATGCTGAGTGTTGTTAAGCGAATCACTGCCGTTGTTAACTGAGTCATGTGCTATTAAGCAAATCTGACTTCCCCCATTGACTATGATTGTTGGAAGTCAGCTGGGAAGTTTCGCAAATGGCAATCACAGGACCCAGGACGCTGCGACAGTCATAACTACGAGACAATTGCCAAGTGTGCGAATTTTGATCACGTGACCAGGGGGATGTTGTGATGGTTGTAAGTCTGAAAAACGGTCATAAGTCTCTTTTTCAGGTGCTGCTGTAACTTTGATTAGTCAGTAAACGTAAATCCAGGATTGGCTGCATCTGCAGAATGAGAGGCCACAAGTCCCACTTCTGTGATTTGTGATTTGTGTCTGTGATCTCCCATCGCTGTACAACTTCCCTGTTTCTGTCTTGCAGATGGATTTTGTGCCCCCGAGTGGGACAACCTCATTTGCTGGCCCCAGGGCCCCCCCGGGAAAGTGGTCTCCATGCCCTGCCCAGATTACATCTACGACTTCAACCATGAGGGTAAATATGGACCTGCCCATCCGTCTTTATCTATCTATCTATCTATCTATCTGTCTGTCTGTCTGTCTGTCTGTCTGTCTGTCTGTCTGTCTGTCTGTCTGTCTATCTATCTATCTATCTATCTATCTATCTATCTATCTCACCATCTCTCTTTTCCTGTGTATCTCTTCCTATCATTCCATCCATCTCTCTACTATATCTATCAATTAATCATAGCAAACATATCTATCCATCTTTTTAGTTATGCCTCCATCCCTCCATCCACCTATCCATTATATATCTGTCTGTCTGTCTGTCTGTCTGTCTGTCTGTCTGTCTGTCCATCCATCATCTATCTATCATCTATCATCTATCAACGTACCTGTTTGTCTATCTGTCAATCATTTATCTATCTATCCTTATGTATCCTCTATCAATCTATTTATTCTTTTTATCTATCATCTATCATCTCTTTTCTCTCTCTCAGTCAGTGTCTGTCTGTCTGTCTGTCTGTCTGTCTGTCTGTCTACCTACCTACCTACCTACCTACCTACCTACCTACCTGTCTGTCTGTCTGTCTGTCTGTCTATCTATCTATCTATCTATCTATCTATCTATCTATCTATCTATCTATCTATCCATCATCTATCTATGTCTATCATCTATCTACCTATCTGTCTATCATTTATCTATCTATCCTTATGTATCATCTATCTATCTATCTATCTATCTATCTATCTATCTATCTATCTATCTATCTATCTATCTATCTATCTATCTAAATGACACATGCGTCACACCCACTTCAGTAAAAGGTGTTGATAAAATAAAGGTATAATCTAGCAGGGCTGAACATTCGGCAGGTACTGAGAGCAGTTCATATTGTTAACATTTTCATGCTGATCCCAGCTGTCTCCCCTTTCATTCCTTTGCAGGAAATGTCTCAAAAATCCTCTTTCAATGTGAAGAAGGATAATTTGCTTTAAATTCAATTAAATTCAATCCCCGGATTTGGCAGAATAACACAGATCCCCTGATCCAAAATTCCTGTGGCAGGCTGTTCCACAGGATGACCGCTGGTGCCAGTGTTTCTCAGCCACTTTAAGATGCGTGGATTCCCTGGGGAGGGCCCCCTGGGGAATTGGGTCCAGCCACACCTCCAAACCCCTTAAAATCAGCCGAAATAATTCCAAGAGAAACTTGAAAGAAATTCTAAACCTTCCGAGAATAAAGCAGAAAAACAGAAGCCTCTTTTTTCAGTCTCAACCAAACCTTCCATAAATTGAGAATGGTGGTTTGTAGGCCCACTAGCTGAAACAGCCCAAGCTCTCCAACCACCCCCGGCATGCCTCTTGGCCCTCTGACCCTACTCCTGCCCCCTTTGTGTGGGTCCAACCGAGGCACAACTTTGGGGTACCAAGAGGTGACCAAAGGCAATTTCTTCCCTGTTTCACGTCGTCTCTGCCCTTCTGCCAGGTTATGCCCATCGGCAGTGTGATCTGAACGGCAGCTGGGCGTTGGTGCTCAATCAGAACCGTACCTGGGCAAACTATACCGAATGTGCCAAGTTTCTTGTCATCGACAGCACGGAAAAGGTGAGTGGCAACCTTGGTGACAAGAAGGAAGTGGGACACACAGGGATTTGAATTTATTGATTGATTGATTCATCCAATCATTCATTCATTCATTCATTCATTCATTCATTCATAATCTTTATTTATTTAATCATAAATTATTAACTTACAACCAGAAGTTGTACCTGCTCCATCACTGGAGGTTTTTAAGAAGAGATTGGACAACCCTTTGTTGGAATAGCATAAGGTCTCCTGCTTGAGCAGGGGGTTGGACTAGATGACCTCCAAGGTCCCTTCCAACTCTGCTCTTCTCTGATTCTGTAAGAGTCTCCTGCTTGAGCAGGGGGTTGGACTAGATGACCTCCAAGGTCCCTTCCAACTATGTTATTCTGTTATTTATTTATAATCTATATTGATTAATTAAACATAATTAATTAAATATAATTAATTGATTGATTGATTATATTTATTGGATTTCTATCCCGCCTTTATTATTTTCATAAACAACTCAAGAGAGCGAACACACATGATACTCCTTCCACCTCTTATTTTCTGCACAACAACAACCTTGTGAGGTGGGTGGGGCTGAGAGAGAAAGACTGGCCCAGAGTCACCCAGTCAGCTTTCATGCCTGAGGTGGGACTAGAACTCACCATGATTGGCCCAGAGTCACCAACTGGCTTTCATTTCTAAGGCGGGACTAGAACTCACTGTCTCCTGGTGATTGGCCCAGAGTCACCCAGTTGGCTTTCATGCCTGAGGTGGGACTAGAACTCACCATGATTGGCCCAGAGTCACCAACTGGCTTTCATTTCTAAGGCGGGACTAGAACTCACCACCTCCTGGTGATTGGCCTGGAGTCACCAACTGGCTTTCATGCCTAAGGCGGGACTAGAACTCACCGTCTCCTGGTTTCTAGACCACTACACCAAACTGGCTCAGAATCATCTAGGTGCAGAACTAGATGATCCAGCTGATCCAGCGGTGCTCCAAAATAGCTGCAAACTTTCACACAATTGTGAAAGTGTGAGCAATAATGAAACACTCAATGCTGTCCCCTGCTTTCCGTGATTAACCGCTGACTGTGGCTTCTGTGTAGCTGATTAACTTCCATAATTGACTTACTAAGCCCCGCCCCCCACCGTGTTTAGCATGCCAGTTAATAAAAATACTTCCTCAGTTACATTTTGTAAGCCATCCTGGCCTGTTGTAGTGGCAGCTATGCATAATGCATTCATTTACAGTTAGTCCCCAATTTACGAGCAGAATTGGGACTGGAATGTGAACTGCTAAGTGAGGTGGCCATTAAGTGAGTCAGACTTGACCTTGTAAGCTTTTTTGCCTCAGTTGTTAAGATAATCACTTCAGTTGCTGGCTGGGAAGGTTGCAGACATTGAAAATGTGACATCCAGTCACCCAGCTGGTCTTGACGCCTAAAGTGGGACTAGAACTCACCGTCTTCTGGTGATTGGCACGGAGTCACCCAGCCGGCTTTCCATGCCTAAAGTGGAACTAGAACTCACTGTTTCCTTGTGATTGGCCCAAAGTCACCCAGTCGGCTTTCCACACCTAAAGTGGGACTAGAACTCACCGTCTCCTGGTGATTGGTTCAAAGTCACCCAGCCGGCTTTCCACGCCTAAAGTGGGACTAGAACTCACCATTTCCTGGTGATTGGTCCAAAGTTACCCAGCTGGCTTTCATGCCTAAAGTGGGACTAGAACTCACCGTCTCCTGGTGATTGGTTCAAAGTCACCCAGCCGGCTTTCCACGCCTAAAGTGGGACTAGAACTCACCATTTCCTGGTGATTGGTCCAAAGTTACCCAGCTGGCTTTCATGCCTAAAGTGGGACTAGAACTCACCGTCTCCTGGTGATTGGCCCATAGTCACCCAGCCAACTTTCATGCCTAAGGAGGGACTAGAACTCACCGTCTCCTGGTGATTGACCCAAAATCTCCCAACCGGCTTTGACACCTAAGGAGGGACTAGAACTCCCCGTCTCCTGGTGATTGGCATGGAGTCACCCAGCTGGCTTTCATGCCTAAGGCAGGACTAGAACTCACCATCTCTTGGTGATTGGCCCAGAGTCACCCAGCCAGTTTCATTCAATGCTGGCTTGGAACTGACGTCCACCCATCTTAGATTGACAAGCACATCTCTGCATCCTTTTGTATGTGTGTGTTGCAGGAAGTTTTTCATCGGCTTTATGTGATTTATACCGTTGGTTATTCCATCTCGCTGGGATCGCTGACAATTGCGGTTATGATCTTAGCTTATTTCCGGTAAGTTGGGGCCATGCCTGATGAAAAAGCCTTCCTTCCATAGATCCCCTTTCTCCCGCGAGATTTGCAAATAAGGTCAAAAAAGTCAAAATGGCAGCTACGGCAATGCCAATCCCCACCCCTTGTGAAGGTCCGCCCCTTCACATATCCAAACAAAAGGGGTTGGGCTTCCATCACACTGTATTTATAACCACAGAATCCTAGAATCATAAAGACTGGAAGGGACGTCCGAGGTCATCTAGTCCAACCCCCTGCCCAAGATAGGAGATCTTATACCATCCCAATCAAACTAATGTCCAATCTTTTCTTGAAAAGCTCTCTGCCATCTTGACTTATTTGACCCACATAAAGGCCAACTTTGGCTTTTTAGCCGCCTTAACTGGTTTTAAATTGGTTTATGGGGCTCTTAAGCCATTATTTTGTATTTCACGTAAAGAAAAAGCAGCACAGAAAATCCTTATTGCTTTTGTATTTTTTGCGTGTTTTCAATCTATCCATGCACTGTGTTCTATATCTTATTTCGTTACGTTTCTAAATTTATAAAAGCTGCTATTTCATAAAACAAGTGACTTTTGTCCTATTGTTTTGGCTTTTCTTTTCTTTTTTTCTATTCCTGTTCTATTCTATTCTATTCTATTCTATTCTATTCTGTTCTGTTTTGTTTGTTCTCTCTTTATTCTATTCTGTTCTGTTCTCTATTCTATTATATTCTCTATTCAGTATATTCTGTTGTATTCTGTTCTGTTCTCTGTTCTCTATTCTTTATTCTATTCTGTTCTGTATGTTCTCTATTCTATTCTATTCTCTATTCAATATATTCTATTCTGTTCTGTTCTCCATTCTCATCTCTTCTTTATTCTATTCTATTCTATTCTATTCTATTCTATTCTATTCATAATTCTATTCTATTCTATTCTATTCATTATTCTATTCTATTCTATTCTATTCTATTCTATTCTATTAATTTATTAATTTATTCTATATTCTATTCTATTCTATTCTATTCTATTCTATTCTATTCTATTCTATTCTCTATTCCAGTGGTGGCGAACCTATGGCACGGGTGCCAGAGGCAGCACTCAGAGCCCTCTCTGTGGGCACACACGCCGTCGCCCCAGTCCTAGGCCTTCAGCTGGGTTTTATAAAACCTTTTCGCTTTAGGCCTCTGCCGCCGTGTACAAAACAAAAAAGGTTCAATCAGTCAATTTCAACTTCTTGCGGGGAAAAAAAAGATCTTGCAAAGTTGGAATTGATTGATTGAACTTTTTAGTCCCACCCAGTCTGCCGTTACCACCGCAGCCATGTCCACCCAATGGGCCACGCCCACCCGGCACCCGACGATGCATAAGTGGGTTTTGGGTTGCAGTTTGGGCACTCGGTCTCTAAAAGATTCGCCATCACTGATTCTATTCTCTATTCTATTCTATTTATTAATTTCCATTGTATTTTCATTTTATTATTTTACTGCATTGTATTTTCATTTTATTATTTTATATCATTTTTTTTCATAATCTAACATCCCTGCCTACCTCCTATACAGGTAGTCCTTGACTTACAATCACACCTGAGCCAAAAATTCCTGTTGTTAAGTGAGATATATGTTGAGTGAGTTTTGCCCCATTTTTGACCTTTCTCATCACTGTTGTTAAGTGAATCACTACAGGTGATAAGTTAGCAACACAGATGTTAAGTGAATCCGGCTTCCCCCATTGCCTTTGTTAATCAGACAGTCGCAAAAGGGGATCACGTGACCCCGGGACAGTGGAGCCGTCATAAATACGAGTCAGTTGCCAAGCGTCTCAATTGCGATCAGGTGACAGTGAGGACGCTGCAGCAATCCTAAGTCTGAAAAACAGTCATAAGTCCCTTTTTTTCAGTGCCGTTGCAACTTCAAACGGTCACTAAATGAATGGCCGTATGCCGAGGACTACCCTCACTGAATTTTTATGGTGTATTTATTCTTGTTTTATTGACTGATTAAATTCAGACACCGCCCGTCTTGCCATTAATCAACCAGATGGGTCCGTGTCTGAGTCCTCTCCAGCCAAATTCAAGTCACCAGTTCGAATGCTGCTCCCGAGGTCAGCCTGCGAACGAATCCCTTGCCCAGGATTAGCCAAGGGCTGAAATTTCGTATTTTTGTCTTGTTCCAGACGTTTGCACTGCACCCGGAACTATATCCACATGCATCTATTCGTCTCCTTCATGCTCCGGGCAATCAGCATCTTTGTGAAGGACGCCGTGCTGTATTCCGGCTCGGCCCTGGAGGAGATGGAGATAATCCCGGAGGACGAGTTCCGATCCATGACCGAAGCTACCCCGATGGATAACTCAACCATGGTTAGTTCCTTCTGCTTGCAAAGACCTTTCCAAATAAAGAAATGGTCAAGGACTTCCTTGATTTGATCATTTTATTCTGCTTTTATTACTTTATAAATAACTCGGTGTACGTGCCTCCCTCCTCCTATTTTTCCCGCAACAACAACAACCCTGCAAGTTTAGGCTGAGAGAGAGCGACTGGCCCAAAGTCACTCGGCTGGCTTTCATGCCTCAGGCGAGACTAGAACTCACCATCTCCTGGTGATTGGCTCAAAGTCACCTAATCGGCTTTTGTGTCTAAGGTGGGACTAGAACTCACTGTCACCTGGTGATTGGCCCAAAGTCACCCAATTGGCATTTATGCCTAAAGTGGGACTAGAACTCACTGTCTCCTGGTGACTTGTGCAAAATCACCCAGCTGGCTTTCATGCCTGAGGCGGGACTAGAATTCACCGTCTCCTGGTGTCTGACCCAAAGTTACTCAGCTAAGGTGGGACTAGAACTCACCGTCTCCTGGTGATTAGGTCAAAGTCAGCCAGCCAGCTTTCCTATCTAAAGCGGGACTACAGTTCACCGTCTTATAGTGATTGGTCCAAAGTCACCAAACTGGATTTCATGCCTAAGGCAGAACTAGAACTTACCCTCTCCTGATGATCAGCCCAAAGTCATCCAGCCGGCTTTCATGGCTAAGAGAGGACTAGAACTTACCATCGCCCAGTTTAAACAGCCTGTCCAATGTCCACAGCAGGACTTATCAATATTGTCCAATTAACTCCTCTCTCTCTCTCTCTCTCTCTCTCTCTCTCTCTCTCTCTCTCCCTCTCTCTCTCTCTCCCTCTCTCTCTCTCTCTCTCTCTCTCTTTCTCTTTCTCTTTCTTTCTGTCTGTCTGTCTCTCTCTCTCGTTTTCTTTCTCTCTCTGTCTCTTTCTCTCTGTCTCTCAGTACCTGTCTCAGTACTCTCCCCAGGTGGGCTGCAAATTAGTCGTGACTCTCTTCCTCTACTTCCTGGCCACCAGTTACTACTGGATTTTGGTGGAAGGACTCTACCTTCACAGCCTCATCTTCATGGCCTTCTTCTCGGAGAAGAAATACCTCTGTGGATTCACGTTGTTTGGCTGGGGTGAGTTGGTCTTTCTGCCAAGGCTACCTACCTCCAGAGGCTGGAGGATCTCGGGAGCTTCCAGAAGTTGGTCTCCTGGCCGTGAGAGGTCCATAAACACCTCTTGCAACTCATCTTTGGTGGTTCTTGGGTAAAAATAAAGAAGGGAAGATCAAACTGAGATACAAAGATGTCCCAAAACGGGACAATCAGAACATCCACTTGGGAGCCCCTCTAGATATTGGTGGAAAGACGAGATTTATGGAAATCGTGATGTAGATTAAATCGTGATTTAAATAAGATCCTTCCTTCTGGACAACATCCACCTATGTGGTTGATTAAAAACTCACACTGACTAGGTGGACCCTAAATCAACTCATTAAAGATCTTTAGATGTTATTGCCCGAAACTGACCTTGAGGTGGAGTGAAAGAGTTCCTGAATTTCTCCTGAACATTTTGGTGAAATTTGGAGGGGGAAGAATGAGCTCCTGATGACTTGAGCTACCTTTATGCCTTGAGATCTGAATTCCCAAAGGTGTTCAAAGCGATGCACAGGTGGACTAACAGAGGATCTCTCTTTCATCAGCTTCCGCATTTTTGGTATTAGATGATGGTGGACCTATGGGGTCCTGGATGCTCTCTGAGCTTGGTTGTTCTCTTGCAGACGTTTCATGACCCAACTAGGTAATTCTGTCACTGCTAGTCAGTGGGGATTCTGATGACGTTACCTAGTTGGGTCATGAAACGTCTGCAAGAAAACAAGCTCAGAGAGCACCGAGGACCCCACAGTCATCCTCCTCCTCCTCCTCTCTTTTTTCTTCCTCCTCCTCTCTGTAAACCCACTCCCTTCTAGCATTGATGATATTCCATAGTTTGGTGATGAAATGTCTTCAACAAAACCATCAAACTCAAAGAGCACCAAGAACCCCACAGTCGTCCTCCTTCTCCTTCTCCTTCTCCTCCTCCTCCTCCTCCCCCTCCTCCTCCTCCTCCTCCTCTCTGTAAACCCCACTCCCTTCTAGTACTGATATTGCTTACTTTGGTCATGAAATGTCTTCAACAAAACCACCAAACTCAAAGAGCACCAAGAACCCTACAGTCGTCCTCCTTCTCCTTCTCCTTCTCCTTCTCCTTCTCCTTCTCCTCCTCCTCCTCCTCCTCCTCCTCCTCTCTGTAAACCCCACTCCCTTCTAGTACTGATATTGCTTACTTTGGTCATGAAATGTCTTCAACAAAACCACCCAACTCAGAGAGCACCAATAACC